TTTTTTTTTTTTTTTTTTTTTGAGACAGGGTCTCACTATGTAGCTCAGGCTGGTCTCAACTCACAGCAATCCTCCTTCCTCAGCCTCCCAAGTGCTGGGATTATACGCATGCGCCACCACACCTGGCACAACTCCTCTTAATATATTTTTATACCTTCAAATAGAGCAAGTATAGATCCAACTGATTCTGTGCATAGGAGATCAGTTATCACTGGAACTTAGTCTTTCTATACAAATAGATTCTCTGTAAATCTGGTTGGCAAAAATACTACATGGGAAAACAAAACAGTGCAGAGAAATCACTTCATGACTACTGAGTAATATGAATCAGCAGTTCTGCTTTTTACCCATTGCGATCAAAGTTCCTCTGAACTTAAAACCATGGGAATAGGTACCGTATTTCAGGCAGAGTGCAGACTGAAGCCAGAGGCTTCAGGAGTGACTAAAAGAGGTTTATTGTGTACCAGATTTTGTCATAGGCATTAGGGTACCAGAGGTCACTAAGAAGGCCATGGCATCTGCTTTATTGGATTCACATTCTGATAGGGGAAGCGAGAGGAATGAACATTCAGAAAAGAGCATGGGGCGGGGTGGATAAACTAGTAATAAGTAGGATAAATGTGAAGGATAACATGAGAATGGCTAGATGGCTACTTTAAATTAGGTAATCTCGGGCTGAGAGTGTCCTTAGTGCTTGCTTGGAATACAAGGCTCTGGTTTTCATCCCCAGCAAAGTTCTGATAAATTCAGTTGTCCAAACAAGCCTTCTTTAAATTGATACTTGAGATCTGAGTGACCAGGAGTCAGAGCAGGGAAAGAACGACTGGTTAAAATAGGTTACTTCTGGTTATAGCTGGAAGGTAAAAAGATCACAGTGGCTTGAATGTGTTGGAATTGGAAAAGATAATTGGCTTTAAGAACCAGAGAGAGGGTCAAAAAAGACTTTGGAATACAGTATAAGGTATTTAGAGTTTACCCTGAATATAAAGTAGATTATTAAAAGTTGTTAGGGGTACATGTGTGGGAGGACCAGTGGAGGATAAGACGACTTGGAAAAACAGAGCTAATTTCTGGCTAACATTTGAGAGCCTCTGCTTTAAACTCCCTTTATGTTAGTTTATTTCTCTCCCAAAAGGTTGCTGTTAAAACTAACATGAGACCCTTTAAAGCGGGTACTTCAGTTTGGGAAGTAAAGTGATAAGGAATCTTGATTAAGGCAAATTATAAATATCTTCAAATCTGAACTACAAACTACTTTTGTGTCATCCTCCCTCCCTTCAGGAAACAGGTTTCAGCCACTAAGGCCGAAGCAGAAAAGGATGGAGTGAAGGTCCCCACAACCCTGGCGGAATATTGCATCAAAACTAAAGTGCCTTCCAATGACAACAGCTCAGATTTGCTTTATGACGACTTGTATGATGACGACATTGATGATGAAGATGAAGAAGAAGAAGATGCCGACTGTTATGATGATGATGATTCTGGGAATGAGGAGTCGTGACGCGCTCCTTCAGTGCCCCTGTACTGCCCTGCCGTCTCAGGCCAAAGGGAGGGGAGCAAGTGGGGACCTAGCAGTGGCCCCTCAGCAAAAACCTATTCAACAGGGGGTGGGGAAACAAACACGGCTCCTGCTGACTCACTCCCCTTATGGATCTCAGTTTGCTCCTTTTTATGGACCTTTAATGGAGAGAAAGTAACCCTGCAGAATGTCTGAATTCTTGCATTCTTTACCCTTCCATCACTGTATTGATTTTTTTTTTTTTTAAAGACCCCAAACTCCAGCCTCACTTTGTCTTTACAAAATGTGCACAGCAAAACACATTTGGTCTGTTTTTAGATTCCTGAAGAATTTAAATAGTCTTTTTAAAGACATTTAATGTGTTTTAAAGCTGGGAACCCATTGGGAGTTCATAAGTGCTGCATATACTAGGTAGCAAAAGAAAATGGAAACAAAATAACCCATAAACTTAAAAAAAACAGATTTGCCAAGGTTTAGCTGCTCATTTACATTAGTGTGTGTACATCTGTTCAGCCCTTGGTGGTGAATTTTCTTTTCCTTCAAGGCTGGGATACAGTGGGCATCAGGGACTTAATTTCTTGCTAAGCCTGATGAAATGTGTTCCTGTAGCCTCCACGAATTCTAACATGGAGGTCTCAGCTACTTTGAGGAGAAAACAGATTTTGATTTTTTTGTTTTATTTTTTTTAACTGATTGGGATTTAAACTCTGAAATAAATATTCATACTTTCCATAGAACAACTGAGCACTTGGTTGCTATTTATTTTAAAGGCAAGTTTTTCCTCTTACCAGGGAGTGGGGCAAATGGGGAGGAAGCAGAAATTAGTGTGTGTGGATTTTTAGTAGTGAGAACAAACTGTTAAAAGTCACACCAGCTTTGGTTGATGCTGCTGAGGGAAAAAAGAACTACTGGTGGCCACTTGTTGGGAGAGGAAACATCTGTTTTATGTATTTAACATGGCCTTCCCCTCAAAGACCCTTAACATGAGATTTTGTTTGTTTTTAATTTAAATAGCCACTTTTAATTACTCAGTATTAACCCTAGGTGCATGTGTTTAAGATTTTTTCAATGAGCTGCTTATACTGAGTGATAAATGTGGACGTGTGAGAGACTTGAGTGACTGGTTCTTGCTTGCTTCATTGGATGTAAGCTGGACTTTTTTTCTTTAAATGTATTTGGAGTGCAAGCAGAAACTGTACATGAACCTTCTCTGGGCCTGTCTCTTGTGGCAAAGCCAAGGTTATTGATTACAAGCAGTTTCCAGGCCAGGATAGATCTTATAGCCATGCAATTGCTGCAGGTTTGACTCCCAGGTCTCAGTCATGTGTTCTCTCCAAGATTGAGATCCCGCAGCCTTTTCCATACAGGAACTACAGAATTATAAGGTGATTTTTTGTTTTGTTTTGTTTTGTTAATGAGGTGCACAAGTTAATATGTGTTGAGTGGAAAAAACTTCTATAAAATCAGATTTCAGAAAGAAAATACAGCAAGGATGGACTACAGTCCTACTTAAGATCCCTGTATACCAGTATCATCTTCAAATCATAGCTCAGAAAGAACCAAAGGGCAGATCAGGGACAGGGGTAGGACAGATCCTAGAATGGTCAGAGTAGGTGATGCTTTCTTCCTTAGCTCCTCCTTCCTTTCTGATCTCAGGGGTTTCATTTGCTCTTCAAACTCCCAAACTGAAGCGATTTCCTAGCAGCCAACTCTGGTCTCTCAAGTTTGGTCTGTTATTAAATGGGAATGTTTAACATGTTAAGGTTCTTATGAGACACTGTTGAGCCTGGTCCCAGAATCTCTGTGTAATCTACACAGGGCTAGGGCTGTCATTATACCCTGGATTCCACAGGTTCAGAAAACAGCTCTGTGTGAAGATAAACTATTAAATCTTCTGAGTACAAACCAAATTTTGAAAATGAGCTCTTTGCTTCCCACTTTTGCAAGGCAGGTGGCAGAACCACTGAGCTAAATCCCCAGCCCCGTCCTACACTTCATAAGTAATGCTTTCAGATAACCTGCAAATCTTCTGGAGCCAAAGCCTTTCACAATGCTCTGATTTACCTCCCCACTCCAGCACCCCCAACCGCAAGTTTACAGCCAATAGCTTGGTCTTACTGTCTTTGGCGCCCTAAAATGAAGCCTTTCGTTCTCTTTCTGCTAAAGCATCTCGCTCACTCCCAGGGCAGGCCAGGCGGCACCTTGGCATTGTGGGAGGTGCTGTGCTGTTCAGCTCTGTCCCATAGGCCTTGCTGGCCTCTGTTGCATGTTGACTCAGGGAGTCAGGGAGCCAAGTGAAGGTTGTTTTGTCAGCCCTCCCTTCAGGGTATTACTGTTGTAGGCTGGGTTTGCCTCTGATAAGAGTACAATCAGTTCCAGGAGACTGGGATATTTTGACTGTGGCAGGTATTCTGATAGTTTAGCCTCACTTACAAAACCCAGATGCTGGTTCCAGGCTTCTGTCCCTGAGAATATATCCTGTGGAAAAATACTTGAGTACAAGTTTTTGTGTTTTCCCTTTTGGGGAGTGGATGGAGATCTCAGGCTCATGCCAGAACCTTGTGAGTATAGTTGTGCTTGGTGTGAAATGAACTTAAAATCCTGCATTTTTCAATTCCTTGATTCTAATTGAAGCCTCAGTGAATTGCTCTTCAGTTCCCTGTATTTTGAGGCTGAGTGCAGAAAATAAAATATGATTCTGTTGTTGCTTCTCTGAGAGTCTCCCTGCCCCGCCCCTTTCTCATCATTCCAGAGTTCTTTTCTACTAGCCAAGCTTTTTTTGGTAGTCTTTCTCCAGGCAATTACTAGCTTCTTTACTTGCTGGCTTTCTTATGTTTGGGGCATAATATAGTAAGAGATTGGAAGGGGGAAATGTACAATGTCTGCTGGAAATTAATTCTCAACCTTCCCCATCCCAACAAAAAAGGTTTACATTTACAACTAAAGATTCAGATGCAATTTTCAACTATTTTGAAACCAGCAGGACACACCCGACTTTAATAGCTTTCTTAGCTGAAATTGTAGATGTTTTTCTTCAGTTTAACTTATGAAAAGATTATCTGATGCATTTTGTGTTGACATCCCCTTTAGTGTTTTATTTTGTCTTTTTCTGCCCATCTGTCTACTAATAAAATGTGAAATAAAATATACCTGTATTGCTATTTCCCCATGGGATGACCCTTTTTTTTTCTCATGTTAATAGTAAATATTTTTACTGTTACCTTAGAAATTATGCTCAGTACTGAAAAAAGTTAAGGCCACCCCCAAAACTGGCTAATGTGCCTTTCCAACCCTTTCAACCCATCTCCCTGGAGAATCACCATCCTCAAACCACATAAGCTGCTAAGGAAGGTTTAAGTGAAGGCATGTTCATTTGTGTTAGTTAATTCTGAAATAGCACATAGTCTTTGAAGGCTGTTTGTTCTGCTGCCTTTCTTGGGAAGGCAAATACCTTGTCATTTGTGTATCCTGCTTCCCATTGGTAATACAGTAATGAAGCAAGAGATCACATTAATGAAACCCCACACTTTGAGACTTGTGGACGTTGGCTTTTTTTCTAGCTAGGACTCCAAGCTGTGAGTTAACAGCTTCATGTATCCCATCTGAAGTCAATGCTCCTGACCAGAGATGAAAAAGTATTAAATGTGAGCCCTGTGACCCTGGACTGGTTTGGAGACAATAACTTGATAAAAAACAATAGGTTAAACATTCCTAATCTGAAATGCTCTGAAACCTGGCATATATTTCTGGTTCCAGGCATTTGGATACTCAACCTTGTACTGCACTGATTTTATTAGCTGATCTGAAGTAGTGACGTAGAATTGAAATTAGAGGCTAACGCTTGAGAAGCAACAGGAACTGCCAGTCAAGGTTATGTTGGTTGATAAAAAGCAGAGAGCATAGGCAGGTATAACTGCACAGTAGATCCCCACTCGATTTCTTTTCCCCCTTCCCTTGCTCAGTTCTTGGCTTTCACTCTAGATTTGGAGAAGAAGTTACACTACCCTGGCATTCCTGTCAGGGCTGCAGAAAACCCATGCGCCAGTGGGGCCCAGTGAGAGACTGACCTCTAGATAACAGCTTATAGGCTGGGCCCTGTGAAGAGGTTTAGCTGTCTCTTCAGCTATATCATTTGGACCAACTGAAGGTCTCGCAAAGAAGGAAATAGCAGTTCAAGCCAAATCGACCTGTTGTCAGATGCCTGTGGCACAGGAAGTCTACTCTAGCCCTGTGAAGTCCAGGGGCCACTGCTAAGCCACACCACACAGAGACAATGCATGCTCTCAGAACTTTATTAGGTGGAGTTTGGGCAAGAGAAAGCCCCTGAAACAGTTGCCCACCCAGTTCAGGACAACTGGAACAGAGGACCCTTTGCTTGGAGATGGGCTTGCACTGAAGTGGAAGCAGATCTTTGATTTTTTTTAAAGGGGAGCTGACTGGCTTAATTTTTCTGAGACCAGATTGTTTTAAACGGTTGGCTAAAGAATGGCAATTTTTAGGGACAGGACCAGACGCAGAAGGCCTGGCTCTGTGAGGACAAACATGAGCCTAGATTCATGTTGGGCAGGTGATCATCTCTGCTATTCCCAGATCAAGATTTGGTGGAAGGGGGACCATGACAAATAGCAAAAGGACCAGTTTCTCAAAAACAGGTATAAAACAGTTACAAAGGAACAAAACTCAAATAATGGTTTACAAAGGGACTGAGAGAAGCTGTGATTCTTCATTGCTACCTCACCCCAAAACCCAAACTCCCTTGAAGCAGTCCTTCAGTGCCACCAGACAGGAGGCCATATGGAAGACCAGAAGGCAGAAGGGTGCAGGCTTGGTACAGTGAGAAAGGTCCGGATGGGGAGAGCAGACTTGGCTGCACTTGCAGCCCTGGGCTTCTATCACATTTACAAATACATACATAAATACATTACATACAATAGTCTGGGAGGAAGGCTCCCTGCAGAGGTTCAAGAATCTAGGAAAGGGCACTGGGCTCCCAGAAATGTGTTCCACGTGTTCTCTCCTGCCCAGGGTAAGCCCTGCCCCAAGCCCACTCCTCCCTCAGCGGTCTAGTTTGTCCAGTATGGAGAGTTGCCATAGGTGGGTTTGGAGGCTTGAGACTTGGGCTGCAGGGAGCTGGGCTGGCTGCGCTGTCCTGAGCCACTCTGAGGAGGAGAAAAAGCTGTCAGGGCTGGAGAAAACCCAGGTCCCAAGGCAGGAGGGCCACCCCCTCCACTGCACTCACCTGGGCATCCTGCGGAAGGTGGTGGTGTAGCAGCTGTGAATGTGGCTGCTGGTGGGCTGGCAGGATGTGCAGGAATGGTGGGGGTACATAGCCAGGGGCTGTTCCAGGGGCCAAGGGGCCAGTGGAGCCCAAAGCTGAGGGCAGGCTGAAAGGTGGAGGGGTCCCTGCATGAAATCCCTGCTTGTCAAAAGTCTGTAGGGCAAAGATGACAATGGTGACGGTCAGGCTGGGCTTTACCTACCACCAACCCATCTGTCCACCTTTTGTCCTCCCTTACCTGTGTCTTGCTATAGACAGAACCAGTCATATCAGGTAGGCCAGTGGCGCCTGAAGACACTGATGCTCCTAGGAAGAAAAGCAATTAGTTGTTCCCCACAGCATTTGGTCCCAACTCTAGGAACACTGAGGTGGCCCTGCCTGTGAGGATCAAGTAGGAGACAATACCATGTTTTGATGCCAGAAAGGATGGGTAAACACTACCTTTGCTAGGCCCCGAACCAGCAGACTTGTTTGGTGCCTGTGATGATCCAGCATAGCCACCCTTGGTGTAGTCACCTGCTGCTGTCCCCTGGGTCAGGTCATCATAACCTAGCATGGCAGCATATGGGACACATGGTGAGCTCACAAGCCTGCTCTGCCCTGTCTCTGTCCCTGCCGGGAGCATCCCTCACCTGTGCCGTAGCTTTGCTGGCCATAGCCACTGGCCTGCTGAAAAGGCGTGGTGGGGGTGCTGAGGTTCACACCATGCTGCTTGGCTGAGGCTGGAGGGACCTGGTGGGGCAAGCAGGTGAGTACTAGTCTAAGAGTAACGCAGGGAGACAGAGCAGACCAGACATCTCTGCCATAGCCTCAGACAGCAGGTGACATACCCACCAACCAGAGGGCCTGTGTCGTCATGACTGCAACACATGGTGGATGTAAAAGCAGATGGGGATGTAACTTCATTCCCAGTCTGAACTGTTCTGAGGGCCAGGTAAGACTGAGTGGGGTCAGGACCAGCCCTCGTCCCTGCTTCTCCTCCCAAGTTTCATCCTTCCTGGGATGCAAGGCCAAGGGGAAGAACTGTGGACCCCACAAATACTCACGAACATGGTGGGCCCGTATTGGAAGGCACTGGGTACACCGGTATAATAGGGGAGGCCAGTGTAGCTGTAGCCAGGTGGCAGTGCAGGACTCAAAAAGGGCTGCTGGGCTGTGTGGTGGGCCTGGGATTGGCTCTGCTGTGGCTGAGCTAGTGTGGTGGGAGGTGCAGGGGATGCAGAATCGCCTCGGCCAAACTTTGTGACTTCGCCTAGGAGAAGAACACTGAAACTTATACAACCAGGGAAAAGGCCAGACTGTTTCCTGCATACAGTAACAAGTCTTGCTGCCAACTCAAGCAAGAGCACTGACAAAACCTCTCAGTTCTTCCATATTTGTCTGCTACTTTCCTGGAGTTAGCTATAGGACAGCTCCCACCCTCCCACTTTCACCCACTGAGCCAACCAACCTGAATACGGGTTATTAGCTAGGCTCCCATCTCGGCTGGCAAGGGCTGTGGGTGCAGCAAAGGGAATTCCGTAGTAATCCTATGAAAGACCAGGAGGCTCATTCAGAAATGGTCTCCTCCACCTCAGGAGACAGACCCAGCAAGCAGCACAGGCACAAGGCACTCTGGGTAATGGCACATTTCCCACACAGGCTGCATGGCTCAAAGGCAGCACTGAGACAATTCTGGGTAAATGGTGCCTTTGGGAGTGTGCAGCTCAGTAGCCTTGATCAACCCCCAATGGGTTTTGCCAGGCAGATCCCTACGGGACCAATCTCACTTGTCCATTTCACACTACAGGCGGGTGTTTGACAAATGCCTTATGATGAACCTACTTTACTGGCTTTTCTTGTGTGAGACTAAAGAGCTGCCTGAAAAGTTGGTGAACAGAAGAAACCTACAAAAGCAGTCAGTAGGAAGGGAGAGCCTTGTCGGTTTAACGATGGGACAGAGAATAGTACTTGGCCCAGAACCCCAGGTCTAGGCCCCCAATTGCCCTTTACCTTACTCTCCTGTCTTGGCAACAATGACACTGCTGAGTACCCAGGCTTACAGTGGCAGGTGAAACAGTGTGGAGACAAAGGGCAAGACATGTCACACCTCAGGACAAGGCAGCCCAGCTCTGCCTGCCCTTACTCGCCATCCTGGGTTCCCGCAGCACCAGACATACCTGGTGTCTGAGCAAAGGGCAAGCAAGCCCTCAGGCAGCCCTAGATCTGTGGTCAGAGAGAGAAACCACCCTGGCTGGAAATGGCATTCACACCCTCTTCTGACCACATTTCCAGGTAACCTCCAGGAAACCCACAGTATCTTCAGTCCAGAGCCTTAGGAGGCAGCAGGACTGGGTGACCTGCATGAAGCTAGTGGGACACACTGTAGACAGCTGTAATGCAAGCCCAGAAGAGGGAGCCCGTCCACAGATGATGAGGAATTGTAAAGGGAGGAATTAGGCACAAATGCAGGAAAGGGTTGGGGCACAGATTTAGCTCAGTGGTTCTGTTGCCTGCCTCGGAAGCACAAGGTTTGGAGTTCAATCCCCAGTACAAAAAAAAAAAAGGTCAGGAAAAGGTAAAAATGGGAAGTGCAACTATTTAAATACAAGATGACCAAAACCTGCATATTTTTCATTAATTTATACAGGATTAACAGGAAATATTAAAATGACAACTTGATTGATTGGTACCAGGGATCGAACTCAGGCCCTTGCGCGGCAGGCTACAAAACCACTGAGCCAAATCCCCAGTCCTCAAATTTATTAAATACAAGAACCAACTGGTTGAAATGACACCTGCCTGAGTGACGCTTGGGTTAGTCAGTATGTAAATACATGTGCTGCCCAAATGATGCGTGCGGTAAACTGTTTAGTAAAGGAGGAACAGGAGAAAGAGAGCCCCTCCTCTAGGAACACATCCAAGGGTCTGACAGTCTCTGACGGATACCTCAGGAAACATCAGGTTAAGAGTGGCCACCCTGAAGGAAGTCCTGCCAACTGGAAGGGCAAGGAAACCAGCTACTTCCTGAACCTGTCTCCTCTCTTCTTGTTCCCATGGCTATCCATGGAAGGCCCAGGGTTTCATCCTCTTACCTGGGCCAGAATAAAGAAGCAGCCCTGACCTGACGATGTGGCTGCAAAAACCAGGGAGATCCCAGAGTGGAATGAAAGGCCAAGCCTAGAAGATACCTTATTCAAACAGCAGAGGGCAGAAGAGTTATGCTGCCATCGAGGGCAGAGATACTGGCCACCATGGTCCAAAGAACCAGAGTGCTTTGAGGGGAATTTTATAAAACTCAGGACTCAGTAAGCAACCTAAATGTCTTGTACCACATGGCTTTAAGGATCTTCTGTAGATCCAGTTCCCAAAGGACTTCAACCTGCCCAAGGCACTCCTCTGCCAAAGCTATGGCAATATTAGGCCCAATCACCAAATGGCAACCGCCTTCTCAGTAGTGGTGCCAAAGCAGTTCCAAAGGCCCAGGATCCTGAAGTCCAATGAAGGTGGCAGTCAAGGCCAAGGGAATGAAGAGCATGTAAAAAAAGTCAGAATCACCACGGCCTCCCCATGCCACGTCCCACTTACCATAGGCAGCCGTGACTGTAGCATCTGGAGCTCATCATAGCCATAAATCTGCATAAGAACCAGAAAAGACATGTAAGGGACCACACACCATCCCATGGGAAGCCCAAGCCCATCTAGGGGATAAAAGGTTAGGGAGATAAGACACACCCAGGAATAGGGCCTGGATCAACCACTATGGGAACCAGTACTTCCCATGAGGAGTCTAGATGGTGGAAGACTCATGAGAAGAGGGGCAAAGACAGGATTCAGGGAAAAAAGAGCAGCCCCAGCCCAATCCAAGGTCCCTGTCACCAGGTCCTGCCAGGAATTCCACCCTGTGCTCACTGGGTAGGCAGGAAGCAGTCCTCCAGGGCCCACGAGGTACTGGTTGTGCAGCAGGGGAGGTACCCCTTGAGGCAGGTTTGGGGGTGCTTTGCCTGCAGAGGGAAAAATCAAATGGAATGGAGCAACACTGCCAAGAGTGAGATTTCTCAACTGCTTTGGAAGGAGGCACAGGTCACTGAGCTCAGCTGGCCACAGTGCTGCCCCAGATGGGTGTGTGTCCAAGAGGGTAGGGCAGTGGCCTAGAGATGGCTGAGCTAGAAAGTAGTGTAAAAAAGACAAAAAGCACATGCCATATTCAGAATATTATAACACCAGAAAACTGTACCCAGAGAGAAACACCTGTTGCCCTCCGATCCCAAAGGCCACACTGCACTGAGCAAATATGAAGGTAAGAAAAGATATGCCTCCTCCAAACAGAAGAAGGAAGCCATTAGGGTTTTTTTTGTTTTGTTTTTTTGTACTGGGGATCCAACTTGGGACCTTATGCTTAAGAGGCAGGCAGTGGAATCACTGAGCTAAATCCCTGGCCCAGGAAGCCAGCCATTTGGTTTACATCTGTTAAGTTCCACTAAAGCTAATGTGCTAAAGGCTTGTCTCTAGTTAGTGGTGTTATTGGAAGTGGTGGACCTGAGGAGGAGAGGCCTAACTGGAGGAAGTAGGTATGTGGGGAGGCCCTCTGAAGGATATGTTGGGACCCTCTGCACCCCCGACGCCCGCTTCCTGGCCTCATGAGATGTGCAGGTTTCCTCCGCCATTATTTTCTCCATCACGCTGCAGGCTCACCACAGGATCAGAAACATGAAGCCAAGTCACTATGGACTAAAAAGTCTGAGACTGTGAGTGAAAATAAGTATTTCCTCCTCTAAGTTATCTCAGATATTTTGTCACATGGATGGAAAGCTGACACTGCAGCCGTACACAGTGTCAGGAAAGGGTCAGGCTGCATCAAAGGCAGGTTTGGGCACTTTCCACTGTCTGCTTAGCCCACCAGGACAGCCTCAGTCTGGCTGACAAAGGGTCACACAAAGTGGCCAGGAGAAGACCACAACAGGTCATGCCAGATCCCTCTAAGTCACCACGTCAATTCAGCTCCAATTACGGACAGGCAGAAAATAAGGGAGAGCCACAAGCACTGAAGCTTCCAGGAATCTCGGCCCAAAGAAGCCTGCCTGACAAACTCATTCCATCCTTGCCTCATGAAGGCTGGAAGATCAGTCTCATGAGGTCAGTGTAACAGCAGTACTTGGCTGTGGCAGTGGCAGTGACACAGTCAATCCTCTGATGCTTGTGTAGATATGAGGGTGCAAGGATGGGCATGAGAGGCCCCAGGGGACCTACCTGAGGTCACCAAGGGTGCGGCCCTGATGGTGCTGCTGGGTGCGCTCACAGTGGTCCCACCCAGGCAGAGGCTGTTCACTGTGCTCATGCTACCAGGTGGGCTGATACTCGACGAAGGGGCACTCGAGGAGGAGGGTGCTGCCGTGGAGAACGTTGCCGAGGACTGGACGGAAGGGGTGTTCTCCACATTGGCATGCTAGCAAAACACAAGCCAGGACACATGGATCTGGAGGCAAAGAAGGTGGGGCTGGGAGAACCTTGCCTGCCCTCTGGGCTTGCAGTGTCATGGCTCCACAGGTAGGTGACAGTGCCACTACCCAGGGGCTCTGAAGAGTGGGGCTCTGCACGCAGTGGTCTTCCGGACACTGCAGCCAGATTCAGCCATCAGGACTTCCAAGTCTCACAGGGACCACTAAAACTGAGCTCTATGACCAAAGCATTCTTTAAAACCCTTCAAGATGCTCGTGCTTGGCTATCTAAAACAAGGCACAGAAGCACCAAACTTCAGATCATAAATGAATAAAACTTATTTGAATATGAGATGAAAACCCACCTCAGAGAAAAGCAGTAAATTTTTTGTTTTGTTTTGTTTTTGTTTTTGTTTTTTTGAGACAGGGTCTCACTGTGTAGCTGAGACTGACCTGGAACTCACTATGTAGCCCAGGCTGGTCCCGAACTCACAGTGATCCTCTTGCCTCAGCCTCCCGAGTGCTAGGATTACAGGTGTGTGTCACCACGCCCAGCAAAGCAGTAAATCTTAGAGAAGAGTAGATCACGGGGCCACAGGCAGCCCAGCCCAAATCGGCCTTTCCTTATTTTAGTCTTAGCTGCTCTGGTCTGGAAGCCACATAAGACCCTAAAAGTCCTTTAATCCAAAACCTAGTAACACCTTGCAGTCTGCCAACACCTAACTAGGGCCTTCCTAAAAGCACATGCCCTACCACTATGCTTACTCAAGGAGATCTACCCAGGAAGCAAAGGTAAAACACAGCAGAAAACTGTTCTGAGTTCTAGAAATCATGCCTAGCAGCACAATTCTAGTAACAAGACACCACGAAGGACTTCGAGCATGGGATGGGATGGGGGCCTGGACAAACAGGAAAAAGCTCAGTAAGACTGACATCAGTCTCCAAATGAGCAAGTGTGCAGACATAGAAGGATAGAAGAGAAGCCAAAGAAAGGCAACTATGACCATCTTCAATTTTTCTCATCTAACAGCCTTCCCTATCCATCAGATTAATAGCTAGAAAGAATTTACCAAGGTTAATACATCTGAAAACATGTTGTCTTAGGGATATCAAGGACTCTTGGTCCTTCAGCACAGAACCAGGGCGGAGAGGGCCCTAGCAGAAAGAAGGAGGGCACAAGAAGGCTCAACCCTATCCAGCGCCTAGGCCACAGACTCTGAGAAACCTGACTTCCAAACCATCACCAGTCACAGAACCCAGAATGGCTCTGATTAAGACTCCCAAATGTTACTGGTCACACAACTCTCACTGGAGAAAAAAAACAAACATTTCTCATACATAAGATGCTTGCTAGAGAATCAGTTCCTGACTTGCTGAAAAGAACTCAAAGAAATCATCCAGAAACCTTCTCCCCCTCCATTCCTTTGTCCCTAACAGAGCTAGTCTGTGCTTCTCACCTCCCAGCACAGTGAGCATGCCAACCCATGGGCTTAACTGGCTCACACCCCACTTAATGGGCCTCACTCACCCCAGGCACTGGAGCCTGGGTAGTCAGTTCCCCAAAGACGGGCCCAGAGAAGCAAGAAAAGGAGAAAACACTGGGATTTCCCTTACAAGGCCAGATGGAAAAAAATATAATTATGATATGCTATGGGAAAAAGACATTATCTGTATGTGTATATATACACACATGCATGGGGTGGGTGGAGCGCCGGGGACTGAACTTGCGTCCTTGTGTTTGTGAGGCAGGTGGCAGCACCACTGAGCTAAATCCCCAGCCGTATCTGTATATATTTTTTAAATAAATTTTTTTTGGAGACAGGGTCTTCCTATGTAGTTCAAAACAAAAATCTGCACCTTTTGTCACAAATGGCTACTAAGTCTCCCCACTATAGAGGGTGGCTAGAAAGAGAACAAAGACCAAACACAAAAACAAAACAAGTATATAATTAGCTCAAAGAAAAGGAATTTCAATGTCTTTCAAACGTAAAAAAGATGCCCAATCTCATCCCATTATATAATATACTGGAGGGCTATTTTTCTTAACACATGAGAAATGTACAAATATGTGAAAATGCCATTTTGAGGAGCCTGTGACAATAAGGCATTACATTTTCTGCCAGTAGAAAATAAACAGATTAAAATCACTAGGTAGGGCAATTGGTATAGAACATACCTAACAACTCCTGGGCTTTACCTGTCTAGACAGCTGTACATGTGAAACAACACAGTGCAGAGGTTATTCAATGCAACACTAGTATCAAGACAAAAAATGGGCCGGAAGGGAAGACAGAAAGTCATACAGTTCAAGTGCAAGACAAATGTCAATATTCCAGGATTGGGGGCAGGGGTAGTGCTGTGTACAGAGTACTCCCATTAATGTGACAGGAAAAAAAGACAGAAAAGAACAGAAGAGAAAGGGAAAATTATTGTGTCTATGCATTTTCATTTTAATGGATTTTGTGCTGTTTTGCTTTTTGACACAGGGTCTCACTTTGTAGCCCAGGCCAGCCTCAAACTCACCATCTTCCTGCCCAGACTCTCAAGTGCTAAGTTTAAAGGCCTGCACCACCATACCTGGCTTTTTACGGATATTTTTAAAGGCTCTATGGAGAAAATAAGCGATTCAGGGCAGAACCAAAAGATTAAACAGGAAAATCTTTCAGTATGCACCTTTTAATATCTTTTAATTATTAGTCAAATATTAATTATCCTGAATATCTTAACAAGGAAGATCCTGTCATCTGATAGTGTGGGACTCACTGGATGAGCATTTCTGGCTGTGCCACTTTGGATTCCATGACCTGCAGTTTTGAGTTGAGACACAGAGCATACAGCTCCTCAGGAGCAAGACCAAAGCTCCTAGCTCCAATGCCCTGGACTTCAAGGCTGCACCTCAGTACTCATACTGAAGGCAGCCACAGATGCCGTAACTGGAGGGCAGAGGCAGGTGGGCAGGGAGGAGTCCATACACGTTCCATGTTGATCAGGGCAACCTATATGTTTTGTGACAAAGAATCTTGTGTAAGATTTCACTTGGAAAAGGAGTTTGAAAGTCACTGTACTTGACAGATACCAAGAGGATAGGTCTGTCCCTTTTCTACCTCTTCACTCTACACTTGAGCTGATTCCTTCTCTAAAGGAAACAAATTTCACTCATTTTATTCCTCTGCCAATCAACTCCATCCAAATGCTCCCCGCTGTGAACATGTTACTTTATCCTTGCTAAAACTCTGCTGTCCAGGAGCATGAACACTGCTCTGTACAGGTATCTTTCCATCCCCCAACCCTAGGCTCCAGTCTCACCCAGCTATTCATTAAATGCTCCTTCCAAACTACTTCCTCTCCAATTCACTACCACTCGTTCCTTAATCCACTACTGTCTGGTCTGACCCTTACTCTTTTAAACCAGACTCCCAACTTGACAGCTCACCAAGCCTCCATCAATAATCCACACAATCTAGGATTATCCGTTGATACATGGGGACATCTCTTGGCTGGCGATTCCAGCATTAATCTCTCATGGTTCCTCAACAGCACAATTCTGCTTTCACTTTTGCCCTCCCACCTCGCAGACTTCCTTTTTCAAAGTGCCTGCCTGTGAGATGAGAAAGATGGCAGGGGGCACGAATCAAATAGGACACTTAATGGCGACCACAAGAAAGTCCCTATGAGCATAACAGAATGGAATAGAATTGTGTTGACTGTACCAGAACCATTAGTCTGAGAGATGTTGTGCATAGGACATATGGTGCAGGATGGAGTTCTTCACCCAAGTGCTCCCTTTGTCCTTCAAGTACTTTTCTGCACAAAGTAATAAAGTTACCAAGGAACCGTGCTTTTGATAGTTTTTAGTGGAGCCCAAGATGGAGTCAGCAACAAACATATTTTTTCTCCTAAAAGCTTTCAAAATCTCAATGTTAACAAGGCCCATAAAACAAAAATTTCCATGCTGACAGGAGAAACTTTTTTTTTTTTGGTACCAATGGAATTCGGGTCCTTGAGCTTGCAAGGCAGGTGGCGGAACCACTGAGCCAAATCCTGGCCCAGGAGAAACTTCTATAAAGAAAAAAAAAGTAATTCAACAGATTCTTGGGAGCAAGCTTGCCATCTGGCCCTCCTTGCGATACCACACTGGGTCCAAGGCAGTGCTCCACAGAGCCTGGGAAACCAGTGGCTCAAACCACATAACAAAATCAACATATTTCAGCCAAGCATAATTCTAGATCATCTCACATCTTCAACACTGACAATCTTCACTCAGATGTACGTCACAGAGCTCCCAGTGTAATAAGGAGAGAGGCAGAGAGGAAGCTCTGTGGACACTTACTGTGTGTGGCGTGCTCGAGGAGACGGCTGCATGCGCAGAGGAGAGGCTGCTCTGGTGACTGGAGAGTGAACTAGAAGACAAAACAGAACACCTGCTGTCCATCCAAACAAGTTAGTTACTCCACAGGATCAAAGCCCACTTGGCTCAAACGGCTATGGCAAAGCTTCTCCCTATCAGATCTCTACATCAGATCTTATGGTTCAGAACCATAACTGGGTCATGGTTAGAAATGACCTAAAGGGTTACTTGTGATGACATCTGACACATCCTGGCCTAGAAAACTTCCAGAAGCAAAGTCAATGAACTCTAATTCTTTAGGCTATAAAAAGAGTAAAAATAGGACTGTGTGATGAATACTGCGATCTGTAGAGCTCATAAAATCTATGATGAGATAAGAAAGGTCCTATATTCAACCCCACATGCTAGAGTCAGAGCCTGAATTCCTGCAGATCCAGAGTTTAAATCAAATATTTTGGACCGGGGATTTAGCTCAGTGGTTTCGCTGCTTGCCTTGCAAACACAAGGGCCCAAGTTCAATCCCCGGTACCAAAAAAAAAAATTTTTTTTTTTTTTTTGCTGAAGGGAGTTAAGAGGATTCCTGGAACCATGGCAATTTTGTAGTCCAACATTTACTCAAAAATCCAACATCATTCATATGTCATGTGATAGTGACAGGAGTCCACAGCTAGGGACAGGGTAGGCTCAGGGCACCAGATGAGGTCCAAGAAGAGTGGCGGTAGAGAACCCTTGGCCTCATCTGTTTCCCAGAAGATCCAGTGTTCTGTTCCACCAGAGGCATTATAAACAGGCAACGTTTTCACATTTGGCTGTTTTGAGACCTGATGTGGCCAAAACCTAAATTCGAGTATTAATGGAAAAGCCCAAGAAGTCACAGCAGAGGCAACAAGTACATTTTGTTGGGGCACAAACTTACACAGCAACTTTGAGTGGCCTTCTCACTCTGTACCCGCATTTCTCCCATACCTGCTAAGCTGAGAGAGGGGGCTGCTGGACAAGTCACCAGGCTGGGACAAGGAGGGCAAAGCAGCAGTGTGCTGGGACACGGAGGGTAGAAGCGCAGTGCAGGAGGTGGTACTGGGCAGGGAGCCCACAGATGGCAGGGTGGAGGGAGGGTCTATCGTCTTTGGAGCTGGAACAGATGAAGTAGCTGTAAGAAACAGATCTGCTTAGTTCCAGAACCAATCCTGAGTATCTTGTAACATATCAGGTCAGGTGATATATATACATGAAGATTAATTCCCTGGGACAATGCCCATCACCAGATGGCCAATCTCTGTCAGGCCAAAAACGTGTGACATCTGGATGTGCAGTAGATTGGACAAAGGATAGGAAATTACACCTTTATAACCTTAACACTGCCCTATGATGTAAATATAATTATTTTACCTATAGAAAACTGACCCTTAGCAGCACCCAAAAAACAGAGGTGCTGAGATTGATATGCACAATTATAAAGTAAGGCAAATTTCTCTCCAAACCGTAGCAGCAAGGTAAAGTAAAAAGCCACTGGGCAAGACCACCCAAGAGTGCTTCTATCCATTCAGTGCCAACTCAAGCTGATGCTGCCAAAGCTCACAGCCAGCTCATGGCAAGGAGCTGAGAACCCACATTGCGTACACTGTAGAGAGATCTATATCCTATTCTTGGGAGAAAGAATACACAACTGCTGTGCAACACCTACTTTCAAAGGCACAGTGAAGCTCAGTGGACACAACTCCTGTCTGGAAAGCACAAGGCCCTGAGTTCAATTGCTGGTACCAAAAAAACAATCAGGTGTACAAAGAGAATTTCTTTGGGATGTGCTTCAACAGATTAATCTCAGAAAACATAAAAAAATTTAGTAGGCTTCAGAAAGGACACAGGACAATCTACCCTACCTGTGGAAAAGACTCAGTTTAGTGCTGTCCACACACACAATTCAGCTATGTGCTTGGAAGTACATCATTGTCTTTTCCAGATAGGAAGGAGAAGCCACCTAACAGGACGGGTGACTTTAAAATAAACACATGTAGGGACAAAATCAGGTCAGCGAACAACTAGGTCAATTCTTACAGACCTTTATATTCCCAAATCCACCACCTTATTGGCAGTCTATTCCAAACCTGAAATGAAACACGAAGTAACAGATAAAGACACCCAAACTAAAGCCCTAAAAGGTACCTGCCTGGGCCATGGGTGACCACTGATAACAGGCTAGCTCTCTAAAAACCTATTTTAAATAGACACTGTGCTTTCCAGATACTCATTACCTTATCTAAAATTCCCAACCCACCTAGGACCTTTGTATGTGTTCTCAATCCCATGACTAGACAAAAGAAAGCAGCCACTATTGCTGCTACCACAAAGAGCTCCACTGTCATCCAATAAACTCAGAACTGCCAACATTACTCAAAATAGCCCTGGCAGCCCAGCATTATCATCAGTACTGAAACCAAATTCCAGTGTATCACTTCTCATGTCAATTCCAACAGAAGTTCAACTGATCTGCTAACATTCTTTATCTGCACTCCCAAAAAAAACCTAATTAAAAAAAAGACCCAATAGTGTATTATCCATTTGCTTTACTGAACAATTAAACAAAATCAATCACAATCAAGTTAGAGTCACAAAAGAAAGAAACAACTAACAAGGATTCACCTATACTATCTCCAGTGATCACTGAGCTAGTGAAGAGAAAGGCATTTTTCTCTAAAGCATTTACACCAATGACAGTTTTCGCTCTCCTCTGTTCCTAAGCAATTTTATCTTTCAAGTTCTGAAACCAATGACTATGTCTTTCCTAAACTAGGATTTTTTTTTTTTCCTTTAGAAGTCCCTCATACCTGGGCAGGGTGCCTATACCCTCAGCTATTCAGGAGACTGAGGCAGAAGGATTGTGAGTTTGAGGCCAGCTTGTACACACCACAGTAAGACCTCATCTCAAATTTTTTTTTTCTTTAGAAGTCCCTCATACCTGGGCAGGGTGCCTATACCCTCAGCTATTCAGGAGACTGAGGCAGAAGGATTGTGAGTTTGAGGCCAGCTTGTACACACCACAGTAAGACCTCATCTCAAAAAAAATTAATGGAAAAAAAAAAAAGAAAGAAAAAAAGAAGGAAGAATTCTTCTACTGGTATGGCAGCCTCCTAACCAACATGGAATCTGTGTCTCTGAAAACATCTTTTAAATGAACACTACATTCTTCAGGTAGCATAGTCTAATTAGGACAGAAGAATACCAGACAGCATCTATTCTTGCTGTGACTATCACAATTGTAATACTACTACTACCTTATCAAATGGGAACCTCTAGCGACCTTCATTAACTGCTACAGAAAGAGAAGTTGCTTTCTCTTAACCAATGAAGCACCAGAAGCCTTTTCAGAAATATTATAAAAGAGCTGTTTTTGAAGATTTAGCCATTGGCCAACTGGTGCTTCTCCCATCATGTTAGCCATACTTTCTCTATTGGTTTTTATTCAGCCATGACAAGAAGAGTTAGCTGATATACTTACTGTCTAGTGTGTGCTGGCTTCGACCACCACCATGTCCATTCTACAAGAAACAGAAGAAAAGTAATCTCACCTTACATCCCTATTAACTGTTGGGATTCAGTAACAATCATATGAATTACAAACTAATGAAGAACACCTGTTTTTTGTTTTTGTTTTTTTTTTCCTCCTTCAGACACAGTCTCAGTATGAAGGTTCAGGCTGGCCTTGAATTCACTTGTAGCCCAGGCTGGCCTCAAACTCACAGTGATCCTTTTGCTTCAACCAAGACTGAGTGCTGGGATTATAGGGAGGTACTACCACACCCAGCATTCTTTTTTGTTTGTTTTTAAATAAAAGGAAAGACAATAAAAAACAGTTCTAATAGCCCAAAAGGGCTAATAGTTTTGAAAACTAGCTTTAGTGTTTTGGGAAATAACAAATAAAGTACACAGAAAACAATGAGACAGTCCTAAAATAATTTTTAAAAATATCTAATGGTGGTGCTGCACATCTGTTATCCCAGCACTTTGGGAGACTGAGTTAGAACCTCAAGTCTGAGCCCAGGCTAGGCAATTTAGTGAGACCATGACTCAAAATAAAATATAAGGGTCAGTGTGAAAGCCCTGGGTTCACTCTCTAGTATAATAAAATAAAAAAATTTGAAGTAGCCTAGCAGAAATTTAGTTGCCCTTCTTCCTTCCCTCCCTCCCTTTCTTCTGTTTCTCCCTCCTTTCCCTCCCAACCCCCTGCCAAGTTTCCTTCTACGGTTCCCAGGAGATATGTGTACATTTCAATATAAAATAAAGCTTATCATTGGCCATAACAATCAAATATGCAGCTAGCGAATCTCTGTAAGGGTAGGACTTACAAAATATGATAAAGAGATCTGATTTATCTGTAACAAAAGCTGAGTAGAGAATAATTACAGCATAGTAAATACAGCTAATGGTAATGCAGTCACATACTGTTGAAGCGAAGGAATCAGTAAGGGGGAAGAGAATAAAATATTCAGAGGTAGAATACAGACCATGTGGAAATACCCAGAACCAAAGCCAAAATGCTTGATACTTAGAGGCTTGTTTTTTTTTTTTCCTTCACTAAGCATGTGTGTCCATAGATCCACACTCAACTCGCATTCATGGGCTCTAGGATGACTGCTATTAACAAACTCAAACTCCAAGGATTATGTTCAAAAGGTAGCCAAGTTTCAAAATAAAATCTTACCTATAAGCATATTATACCAAGCTACACACTAACCTCCAGGAGGATATCCTAACAGAGAAAACAACCTGAAACTTCACTTACCATGAGGGCTCCTGGAGCCGATTCCGGTGGATTCACAGAGCTTTGGTATGCGATCCTGTTGTGCACAGAACTCTGGTCATAAGAGGAAGATGTCGTTACAGGGCTGGTGGAGCTCAGGGATGAGCTGCTCAGACTGGAGGAGGTAATGACTGAAGTTGTACAGGTGGAATTCTGTACAGCACTGGTCATTGGTAGAGAGTTACTCAAAGGATCACTAAAAAGAGTAAAGGTATTAGATATAAATTGATGTCACTTGGCATAGCTTCCTCAAATAAAACTGTAACTTACTGCCAGATTCTACGTTCAACAAACATGTAACTATAAATTTATACTACTGTGTCCTTTAACACTATACTAAATAAAGCTCAGCAATCCCTCACAAACCCATGATACCCACCAAATTTAACTGACAGGCAAGGGCACATCATTAAGAATCCTTAAAATGGCTTAAGGAATCCAGGTCCCTTATCATGATGTTTCAAAAAGGAAACCCCAGTGTACCCTCCACGCCCGGCTTTTCTGCCTATCTTCATTTCTCCCACCCTACCCTGCCCCAGGAGAAGAGATGACTTCAGGACAGTTGAGAACTGCTACCAAAGCTGCTGCTGATTACATGGTGAGGGAGTAGATGGTCTTTGTGGCACCAGGGCAGAGGATAACTCGCAGAGAGCAGTTCTCAGGGAGGTGGAGAGCAGCTCATTAAGGAAGATAGAAGGAGGTAGGGGGAAGGGGAAGGGCATTTAAAAAGGATTCAAACTGTATTATATGCACATACTCACTCCCCAAGATGATTATAAACTGCAAACAAGTATTAATAAAAAAGAGAGAAGAAAAAAAAAGGAAATCCAAAACAAATACCACATTTTCCTTCTGGGCGTGGAAAAATTAACCAACAAAATCTGAAATCTAGGATTTTTAACTTATAAAATACTCCACTGAAGGAAATAACTGCTGCAAAGATGTGGTGGAATAACTGGATCATTTCTAGATTACTAGTAAAAAAGTAAAATTCTGTAATACTGTGGCTAAAGTCTGGCAGTTTTTCAAATGGTTAATTATACCAACTACCATATGAGCCAATAATTCTACTCCTAAGTATATATCCAAAGAACTGAAAGCATACAAAATTCCCAATGTCCTTATCAATGCAATTCGCTATAGACAAAAATCCGCATCAACTACTAATGAATGAATAAAATGTAGTAACTTTGCATGATGAAAAGTCTGACAATAAAAAGGATATATAAAACATAAATGATCTTTAAAAACATTATGTTAAGTCAAAGAAGACCACATGTTGTATGAAATGTTCATGTGAAGCAAATCCTGAGAGAGATCATTGCTGTCAAATGATAGCAGGGAAGAAACTGCAAGTGTATGTTATAGATAAGAGGTTTCTCTTAATCTCTTAAAGGGGAAAGAAAAAGAAGTTCTACACACGCCTGTAATCCCAGCACTGGGAGGCTGAGGCAGGAGGATCGCTGTGAGTTCAAGACCAACCTGGGCTACACAGTGAGTTCCAGGTCAGTCTCAACTACATGGTGAGACCTGTCTCCAAAAAAAAAAAAAAAATCTACAAATAAACATTGTGGATAGCTGCATAAAACCATTACTATAGGATGACTTCTTAAGCGCTATTTTGCAAAGAAAGAAACCAGAGAGTGGAAGTTTTTACCTTAAAGATTTCGAATACAAATTGATGGGATTCTGATTACTATTTTCACTGCCTGGAACTGATCCAAACTCAGAGAGAGAGGATTCTGATCCAAATTCCAGGGCCCCAAACTGAACATTTAATCCAGTGACATCTGCTGAACCAGGCATTTCCACTGCAGAAGCTGGAATCTGAAAAAGCACCACAATCGTATCAGGAACAGAAGCCAGGGACTCTTATGTCTCAAAGGCTTATAATAGAGTCAAACAAGCAACTATGTTCCCTAGCCTATCCTGGCCAAAAAAAAAGGTGTAAGAGACAGGAAGGAAAGAAAAAGGACTAGGACCTATTAAAAAGAGAGTGAAGGGCCGGGGATTTAGCTCAGTGGTTCTGCCAACTCTGCCTCACAAGCACAAGGACCCAAGTTTGATACTCAGTGCAAAAAAAAAAAAAGAAAAAAGAGAGTGAAAAGCTGTGCATCACCTGTAATCCTAACACTCAGGAAGCTGAGGCAGAAGGATCATTGCAAGTTTGAGGCCAGCATGGGCTAGAGAGTGAGTGCAAGGCCAGCCTGGACCACAAAGCAAGACCTTGTCTCGGGAAAAGAAAGAAAGAAAAAAAAAAGTAACAATAATAAACAAAATCAAAACAGATTAAAAGGAAAAGGAATATTAAAAGATAACAGGGAATGATTAGTATTACTGCCACCAACTGCTTCTTAGTACGATGGGTAGAGTGATGAGGAAAGTGAGCTCTGAGCAAACTATTTTCAGGGACACATCAATTATGAAAACATTACCTGGTCAGGGAACCACTCATCTTCCAATTACAGCATACAGCAGAATACAGAAGAAAAACAGACATTTTGAGCCAGATCCTCAGGTCTGTATTAGAAGTAAGGGTCTCTAGCTCTCAGGACAAATCCATTCTCTCTGATATTAGCCCACTCATTCGAAAATGGCCAAATCCTCACAAGGCAGTGCTTGAAAATACTGCATCACATCTAAGATTTAGTACCCTATTTATTACTAGAGCTATATGTTAAGCAAATTCTTTGGGACTGAGACTTCATGACAAATGCCTACCTTAGAAGCTGGAGGTATCCGCCGCTTAGGGAGTTTGAGATGCTTGGGTTGTGGTTGGTGGGCAGACACAGTGCTATTTTCGACAGCCATGTTAGGAAGCTGCAAAAGTTTGTTCACAGTGGAAGCACTGTCTCCAGGTGCTGATTCTCGGTGTTTTGCCTGGGAAGGAAAGGACTCCAAGCCAGGAGGAGGAACACTGGCTGCTTGGCTCTGGTGCTGCTGTCGTTGGCTCAACTGGCTAAGAACGGGGGATGGCTCAGGCTGAGATTTGAAATCTATGAATATGTGAAGAAACAATTATTTGTATCCAGGTCTTAAACCCCTTTTACCACTGCTGAAGTTAGTTAGATCATGACCAGGTTCTCTGAGTCATCTACTTGAAATTCGTGTGTGTGTACACATATGTGCAAATACCTAAAATATTACTAGGTATTCAGAAAGGGATACCTGAGTAGTTTTGCAACTTAATTCTTGTACAACACATAGCTTATGATGAACATATATGGGACAGAGATCTCTAAGAATAGTGCTTAAGTACTACACACACTTGGCCATTAGTTAACAGAGAACGTTTATTATTTTATGGATTTTGTGCATAACTTTAAAAAATTATTTTATTAGATTTGATTTGCATGTAATGTAAAATTTAACAGATACAAAAGTAGGTACAATGAATATAAATCTTACTTTTACCCTCATGCTTGCTCTACAGAGGCAAACACTTTTCCCAGTTTCTTGGCTGTCTTCATAGATATTGTATCAAAACAATAAAGAGAGACATACACATATATACACACAACCACCATAATTTTTCAAAAGACATTTAATTTTCAGAGACTGTTCAGTGTAAACATACAAAGAGTCATTTCCTTCATTTTTATGACTACCAAGAAATCTAGTAATACTATACTAATAGGCTTTAAGGTTTTCCTATTTCTTTCTGTGAAAAAACAATGTGGTAAACTGGGTGTGGTGGTATATGCATATAATCCCAGCACTCAGGAGGCTGAAGGAAGGGGAGTGGAAGTTTAAAGTTAGCCTGGAATACATAATGAGTCTCAAAAACACAGAACAAAACAATGTGACAATAAATGTATTTCTAGTAATACATTTTGCTCAAATGTAACTATAACTGCTAGAATACAGCACCTGGTTCAGAGGCTAAAAATGTTTTAAATTTTGGCAAATACTTCAAAATTGCTTTCCATAAGTAAGACACAACCTTTATTCACTTCATTTTTTTCTCAGACAGGGTCTCACTATGCACATCAGGCTACCCTTGAACTCACTATGCAGTCCAGGCTGGCCTCAAACTTGTGCACCACCATGCCCTACAGAAAAACTGTATAAAAGGCTGCAAAGTATGGCTGGGGACATAGCTAAGTGGTAGTAGTACTCTTGCTTAGTGCGTAGGAGGGCCTGTTTTCAATCCCCAGGACAGGATAACAAAAGTAAAGAAAAAGCTGGGTATGGTGGCAAAGGAGGTTAAGGCAGAACAATCAAAAGCCTGAGCCCAACCTGGGCAACTTAGCAAGACTCGTCTCAAAATAAAAGATAAAAAGAGCTGGAGATATAGCACTGTGCAAAGACCTTTGGTTCCATCCTCAGTATTATTTACAAAAAAAAAAAAAGAGGAAATGGGAAAGGAGGAGAGGGAGAGTGAGGGAGGAGAGCAGAGGGAGAAAGGGAGGGGAGGCGGGCAAGGGGAGAAGGAGAAAAAAAGAGCAAAAGGGCTGGGGATTTAGCTCAGTGGTGCCGCTGCCTGCCTTGCCAAGTGCTCGGTCCTGAGTTAGCTCCCTAGTACAAAAAAAAAGAAAAAGAAAGGAAGAAAGGAAGAAAGAGAAAGAGAAAGAAAGGAAAAGGAAAGGAAGAGACAGAGAGAGTATGACAAATGAACTTAACTAAGCAGCATTTCATGCACTTATATATCCTTTCCTATGAACTCTGTATTTGGACTTGGGGGACAAATTTTTTTTTTTTCTTTGAGACATGTAGTTGAGAAAGACCTGGAACTCACTATGTAGCACAGGCTGGTCTTGAACTTATAGCGATCCTGCCTCAGCCTCTTGAGCATCAGGATTACAGGCATGCGCCACCACGCCCAGCTTGGGGGGCAATTTTAACCTGGTTTCTGATCTTTATTTTTTATTAGTCCTTTCACGACAAGGAAATTATGCTTTCATCTGTGGCATGACTTTCAGATTTTTTTTTTAAATCTACCTTTTGAATTGGTTATGTTATTTTCTTTCATTCCCAGAAAGGCTGCCCTTTTACCCATAGTATATAAAACCTTTCTATGGTTTTTCTACAACTGTTCTAGACTCACTATTCTTGTGCAAGTACTTTAACTTGTTTAGCACTTCAGTGAAGTAATACAATTTTATTTTCAAACCAGTTAATCAATTGCAATAAACCATGTCTTTACCAATGGTTTAACATGCTATGTCTATCATACAGTACAGAGGTCAGAAATCTTTTTCCATGAAGAGGATAGATAACACAAATTTTAGCATCTAGAAGCTACCTGTCAGCAGCTACTCAACTCTGATTTAGTGGAATGAAAATAGCCACATTTTGGCTAATTGACTGACATCCAAAATGAATTTAAAATGGGTATGGTGGCGTACAGCACTCAGGAGGTTGAGATAGGAGGATCACTGCAAGTTTGAGACCAGCCTGGGCTACACAGTGAGTTCCAGAGCAGTGTGAACTGCATACTGAGACCCTGTCTCAAAAAACCAAAGCAAAACAACAACAACAACAACAACAACAAAATAAATAAATAATTTAAAGGACAAGGGCCAGGGATTTAGCTCAGTGGTTCCACTTCGTGCCTTGAAAGTGCAAGGTCCCGAGTTTGGTCCCGGGTACCAAAAAAAAAAAAATCCATCAAAACTTTAAATCATAAGCAAATTCTGTTTAGG